TTTGCATCGACCAATAAATTCAATACCAATCTGTTACAATATTCTCGTCATTTTTTATTTATTTATTAATTTTTTTTTTGTCCTAAATGATGCCAAAATTAGCCAGTGAAATAAAGTCACGGTGATTTTTTTTTTTTTACTGCGGATTAAAAAATGTCCTGCGTTTTTCATGCGGTTATTATGCGTGTGTTGAGGGGTTCACGTGAACGTGTACACGTGGACGGTTACTATCCACGTGAGATAACAATGTAACAAAGTTATATAGAGCATCTTCGATAGCATAATGAGCAAAATTTAAAAAATGATACAATTATTTGGACGTTTTCAATAAAAGTGATATTTTGTTGTTCCTCGCGTAAAAAAAATATGTAATTGACATTTTCATTTGTCAATAAAAGAGATATTTTGTTGTCCCTTACTATGTAGTTGACATTTTCATCAGAAAAGATATAGTAATCACCTAGATAAAAATTGACGTAGCCTAATTAATTAATAACGTGTAATTTTATTTACGTGGCATGAAAAAAAATTCAAAACTAAATAAATAAATAAACATTGAAGACACATCAGCAAATAAAATAATAATAATAATAAAGATATATAAATAAAAATAAATAAAATATGAAGTCACATAAGCGAAAAAATAAAATAAAATAATAATAATAATAATAATAATAATAATAATAATAATAAAAAAAATATGAAAAAACAAAATATATATATATATATATATTCAAATATATATTAAAGAAATATTAAAAAAATTATATAGTTCGTTAATATATTATAAAATTATCAAATAAATAAAAAATATTCATTAATATTTCAATAAAAATAAATATATATCATTAATATATATTAAAAATAATAATAAAAGAATAAAAATAAATAAAAAAATAATTATTTCATTAGATATATATTAAAAATAATAAAAAAATTTCGATATAGTTTGATATATATTAAAAAATTTCGATATAGTTCGTTAATATATATTGAAAAATTATTAAAAATAAAATAATGTTTAAAATAAATATATTACGTTTTATATATATTATGAAAATAAAAAAAAAATAAAAAATAAAAATTAATATATATATATATATATTCCATTAAATATGTATTAAAAAAATATTACAAACATTGATATGGTTCGTTAATATATATTAAAAGTTTATTAAAAAATAAAGAATTTCGTTAATATTTCGTTAAAAATAAATATATCTGGTTAATATATATTAAAAAATATTAAAAAATAAAACAACAAAAATATTAATAATTAAAAAAACTAAAAAGATATAAATTTCATTTAATATATTTTTAATCGGGGTTGGTCGGCCGGAGGTCAATGGTTGCGGGCGGCGACTGGCGGCGGAGGATTTCGGTAGGGGTGGAGGGGGAGGAGACCCTGAAATTATTTATAAATATTCAAATAAATTTCATATCTCAATTTTTTTAATATAATATATATTTTTAAATATATACATTTTTTAATAAATTAACAAAGGTTTTTTAAATATATATTGATATTTTTGATATATATATATTTAATATATTTATATATATAAATAAATAAAATATTATGTAAAGTATTATATTAGATAATTTAATAAATTATATATAATTATTATTATTATCTAAATATATTTACATTTAACAAAATATTCAAGAATTTGTTTTTTAATAATTTTTTGATCAAAAATTCTAATAAATCTTATGGATAAAGTAATAAGAGAAATTTTGATAGTTTGAATTTCTAAGACCCAAATAAATCTCAAAATGTATCCCATTTGATTGTTGGGATGTTATTCAAATGCAAATTCATCTACGATTCACGAAAATTTGGATATATTCAACAAAAAAAAAAGGAATTAAATTTTATAAAATTTTGGATATTTGAGATTCTAGAATCCCAAAAATCTTATCTCTTATTTGATTTTGCATAACAATATTATTTAAAATCACGGTCCCTAATATTGAAAAACTGATTTCAAAAACATTTTGTTGATTATAATTATCGTGTTTGAATAATGGCCTATTTTTTTTTCCCGAAATGATAGATAATATTATTAATCAAAATGCATAATGTGCGAATACATAACGGGTAAATTGCACCAAACCCCCCTGTAATATACTAAATCTGCGCTTTTTCCCCCTGTATTTTAAAAATTGCGCCATACCCCCTTGTAATATACTTTTGCATGCACACTCTCCCTGCTACGTTAACGCCGTTACAAATCCCCCTGACGGCGTTACTT